ATGATTAATTAATTTTTACAATTATTTATCATTAGTGAGTAATATATTATTATAGAGTACTATAGACTAGTGGTTATTGATTAGTTTGGTTAACTATTTTGAATATTAGTATGATTAATATGTTTAGTGCAAATTAATGATTAGGACAATTAATTGACTAGTGTGTTTATTGATTAGTGTAATTAATTATTAGGGTGATTATTGATTAGTTAAATTAATTGACTAGTGTGATTAGTATAATAGACTGTTTGGCACGATATTACTTTATTGATTACCATAATACCTTGTGTGATTGAATAACCTAATCAACAAACCATCTCAACAAACCCAGCATGCCAGGAAAACAATCCAATGTCAAACCTCAACCTAAAAAGAAAAAAACCCCTACTGAACAACCACAAGACTCTTGCTCTTGCCTTATTTGTAAGGAATCTTTAAAGGAGAATGAAGATTACATCAAATGTTCTCTTTGTAAGAACTACGCTCACCATAATTGTTTAGGCTCTATTCCTAAAAACATCCGCCAATGCTTTTCCATATTTCTGTCCACCATGCAGACCCAAACTAGAAAAATACATTACCCTGTTTGAAAGAGTCGATACCATTGAAACACGTATAACATCCCTTGACACCATTGTAGCATCCCTGGACAATATACCAACTAGATTGGCAAACCTTGAAAAAAAAGAGACAACACTAAAAAACGAACATCAAACATCTACAAACCATATCTCGACTCAACAACTGCAACCAAAACCCAATCCACAAAAAACAATAATCCTACAAATACCGATATCCCCATCCTCATCAAAGAAGCCATTGAGCGTGAACGGAAGTGACCAAATGCCATCTTATTTTATCTAGAGGTCAATGACAATGATGACATCTCTAACGTTCGAAACATCATCAGAGAAAATCAAGTATCAACCATCTCCCCTGAAGAAATACTAGATATTTCCTGTGTCGGTCCTGAGCTTAAAAACAAAGATGGCTTGATGATCCCACGCCTCTGCAGGGTTGTTTGCAAAAATGAAACAAGCAAACGCAAATTCATTTTCTCAATAAATTCACTCGCAAAGAGCAACAACAGCCATAAGAACCTTTGTTCTCGCCCTGATCTAACCTTACAGCAACATGTACGATCCCGGGAGCTACATTCTGAGCTCAAAAGATTACATGAATTAGGTAATACAAATATATACATTGATTACCATGCTGACTGTATCAAAAACAAGAGCCACAACTGATGTCACAATATCCATCACCCAAACATCCAACATTAGGGATGCACGCCCCTTACTTCCTCCAGACCCACTACTTTATATCTTAAATGCAAACTACTTAATGCAAGAAGCCTCACAAATAAAATGTAAGAATTCCTCATCCTTCTAAGCTCAGCCACATTTGACATATTTGTCTGTGAGATGGGGTTAAATGCATCTTTCCCAGACTCCATTACCACTACAAGAGAATATCAAGTTTTTCGGTCAGAACGCGAAATCCATAGAGGTGGTGGAGTTGCTATATTCTATAAAAAGTCTCTAAAAGATCCAAATTATACAAGAACTTGCTCTTCCCGAGACCATCGTCTGTAAACTGTCCTTAAACACCTCAATCTGTTTCTTACTTTGCTATTGAGCCCCTGAATATGATATACCGTATTTATCGGCGTATAACACGCACTTTTTTCCCCCTGAAAATAGGGGGCAAATGATGTATGCGTGTTATACGCCGATATAATGTTAAGAAGCCTTCGGTGAATGCTGCTGGGATCGGGGATCAAGGACACAAATGAAAGAAGGGGAGGGAGGAAGCAACCGAAGCCTGTCCTGCTCTCTGGGTCAGCTCTCTCAGTCGCTCTCTCGCTCCTCCACCAGCACAGGAAGAAACTGCTTCAAAGAAGCGGGGGGGGGGGGGCTTTTCCTGTCGCCACAGCTTCCCTGAAGCGCCCGTTTCTCCCCCACCCCCACCCCGTCCGCCCGCCCGCCCGCCCGCAGTGCTCCGTTCTGCCTGCCTGCCTGCCTTCGTTAATGGTTGAATCGGAACAGCTTCGGCTGAGTAAAAGAGGCGAATAGTTATTATTCTCAGCCGAAGCTGCTCCCAAACAACCAGAAACTAAGGCAGGCAGGCAGGCAGGCAGAATGGGACACTGTGGATTGAAGCGCGCGCGCGGGGTGGGAGTGGGGGTGAAACGGGCGCTTCGGAAAATTTAATTTTTTTTCCTGAAATTTCCCTCTTAAAATGAAGATGCGTGTTATACGCCTGTGCGTGTTATACGCCGATAAATACGGTAATTCATACAAAGAAGCTAACTTCACTACTGACATCGGCTGCCTCCTGCCCTCAACCTCTCATTTTTCTTGGTGATCTCAACTTACCTCTTATAAATTGGACACTAAATGAATGTACATCTGTACCCATACATACAACCCTGTACAATACTGTTATCACACTAGGACTGGAACAACGAGTAACCAAGAATACTAGGCTTAACAACTGCCTTGATCTCATCTTCTGCAATAGTTTGAATTCAATTTATGGAACACAAATTAAAGAACCCTTTTCCAACAGTGACCTCAATGTACGCCCACACAAAAATCATCATAACAACGAGATCCCCAATTATAACTTCGAAAAATGCAACTATGATCTTATAGATAACAATCTCTCATCTCTTGACTGGCAATTTCTATTCACTGAAGGCAATACTGTTGAAGACCATTACAACATATTTTTACTTGAGGTCAAACTATATGTACCAATAACAACTCCAAAAACCAGAAAAAACAATTACCCATAACAATAAGCTTCAATCCAAAAAGAGATCACTTTGGTGAAAAAACGAATCTGGTCACGTTGCCAACTTCAAAAGCCGATACAAAAATTTATGCCACCAGATAAAGACTGAATGCACCAATTATCACATTAAACAAAAGGAAAACCTTCTACGCACCAATTTCACCCGCGCTTTCTACAATGTTGTAAACAACAAACTAACTCAAGGTCCATCCCATCCCTGAGAGGACCTAATGGTAAAGACTGCAACGATGACACCATTAAAGCCAACCTCTTTAACACATTCTTTGGCTCAGTATTTGTAAACAGCAATGGATCATGCCCAGTATTTCCTAGTCGAACCACAGACAACTACAATGATCTAATATATATCGATTTTACAGAAGACATTGTTGAAAAAGCACTATGCAATCTAAAACCATCTCTATCCATTGGACCAGACAGAATATGTGCCTACTTCTTAAAAAAGCTATCCACTGCCATAGTCGAACCTCTAAGCATAATCTTTGGAAAAATTTTCAGGACCAGCTCCTTGCCAAACCAATGGTCACTAGCCACAGTCATCCCCATCTTCAAAAAGGGAGACCCCAGCCTAATTGAAAATTACAGACCAATCTCTTTATGCTGCGTCACCTGTCAAGTCATGGAATCAATTATTAACCAATCCATTATCCTCCACTTAGAGACAACAACCTACTCTCTAATAAACACTTTGGTTTCAGAAAAAAACTGTCCTGTAATCTGCAACTCTTACACTGCAAAAACATATGGACTACACAACTCGATCAGGGCAAAGCAATAGACGCAATTTACATAGACTTCTGTAAAGCCTTTGATTCAGTGGTACATGACAAACTACTCCTAAAACTAAAATCTTATGGTATCTCTGGACACCTGCATAATTGGATAGAAGCATTCCTGTCAAACAGACAACAAATGGTCAAAATTGGGAGCGCCCTATCAAATTCTGTACCTGTCAACAGTGGTGTCCCCCAAGGCAGTGTTCTAGGACCAACTCTCTTCATATTCTACATAAATGACCTCTGTGATCATATTAAGAGCAACTACATTCTCTTCACAGATGATGTAAAGCTATTCAATACCACTGACAATACTGCTACCCTTCAAAAAATCCTCGACTATGTATCAGAATGGTAATTGAATACAGTTCATCAGTCTGGAACCCACATTACATATCTGATATTAATACAGTTGAGAAAATCCAGAAATATTTCACAAGAAGAGTGAATTCCACTCCTCTACTCATTGCAGAATACCTTATGCCACCAGACTTGAAATTCTAGACCTAGAAAACCTAGAACTACGCAGCCTTCGGTCCGATCTAAGTATAGTACATAAAATTATATCTTGCAATGTCCTATCTGTCAATGAATACTTCAGCTTCAACCATAACAATACAACAGCAAACAATAGATACAAAATCAAGGTAAACCGCACCAAACTTGATTGCAGGAAATACGACTTCAGCAACAGAGTGGTCAATGTCTGGAATACTCTACCTGACTCTGTGGTTTCTTCCCCAAACCCCAAAAACTTTAACCTTAGACTGTTGATCTCATCTCTTTCCTAAGAGGTCTGTAGGGGGCTTGCATAAGCGCACCAATGTGCCTATACCATCCCTGTCCTATTGTTTCTTTTTATTTTTCTTATATGTATCCATTTCATGTATTCATAACTATGTTTATACTTATATCTGTTATCTTATAATTGCTTGACAAAATAAATAAATAAATAAATAAATAAACAAACAAACAAACATTTATGTTTTCTTCTCCCAATCCATTACTCATCTCAGAAACCGAAAGGGCAGAATCAATAGCATTTTAGTCACATGTTCAAGAAATGTGTGCCCTTTCATTCTACAACTGTCATTCTAGGACTATGCTATGTTGCAAGGCCATGGTGTGTGCGTATGTGTATGCACATGTGTTAGAGATGGCATGATGATTTTACCTGGATGGTGCTGAAATGATTAGCCTCCATTTTAGGAAAAGGACAGAATTTGCACTTAACAGACTTATTTTAGGCCTTAGTGTGAGGTATTGTGCTGTTGAAAATTATTATTTTGGTAGCATATTGCAAGACTTCTGTGAGATGAGTTATAGCTTGTCTTTACTATATTCAGTTGTTATGTGCGACACAGAATAGTGTAACCTCTGCTGACTATAATGAAGAAATCTTACCAACAGACAATCTTGAAGGACTGGCTTCTCTGCTGCATCCTTGGCTTCGAGGAATCTTGCTCCGTTTTTGTGCTGTTGCAGGGTTGACTACTACTCTCTGAACACCTGTATTCATAGTTGAAAGTGTAGTTGTAGTCAAAACTCTTCCAGGAGAACCAGAACGGCTTCCAGCTGAAGGCAAAGAAAACACATGTTACAATTCTATTATTATAACAAGTTCTGAATTTCCTGGAAGAATTTGAAGAAACTGTTTATAACCTAGAAAAGTGTATTATGTGATATCTAGTCAGCAGGTATTATCAATTCATGTCCAAAAAATCATGTAATTGTTTTGCTTTTTAACATGAAATTATTTGTTTTATCCCCAAAAGTATTAGGAAAATCTAGTATAAATGTCATTACCAGCTACTATTTTCAGGACTCAGATACATTTGAAATAAAATAGATCTAACATAATTTACATAACTTGTTGGGTGCCATTATTTTCCTTATATTCCACTTTTGAATATAAGTTTGCCACTATTCAATCAGTTCTGAAAGTGTTGAAATGAGTAAAAAGCTTCCAAATTCCTGTGAGGTGAAGTAGATTAGCAAGAAAACACGTGTTTAGAAAAACTAATTCCTGAGTTATATACAAATATTTATGTATTTATGAATGTATTTTTACCAAAGCTGTTGATCAGAACTCTGTAATAATCAATAATTTCACAAAATCTACTATAATGTAGGCAATGTATTTTTATTTTTGGATCCTTATAGGTTTCCAATGTTGTAAAGTAAAATCTTCTAGGCAAATTAGCCATGTCTTTTCACCATAATCGTAAAATTAAATAAAAGCAACTTCATGAATGTAATTTATAAGGAACTCGATAGAAAATTTCAAAAACAATGTCTAAGAACAAGCTTGAGATGGAATATGCTTCTAGCTAGGGATTTATGAGCAATTTCAAGGAGTGTTTAACTATTGTAATTTGGAAATGAAGCAGCAATCCTGAATACATATCTTCCTAAAGATTCACCACTTCCTAAAGATTCAGCGGGCATTGTAGCAGAACATGTGACTGTGAATGTAGATGCAGATCTAGCAGCAAGCAAACCCTCTGATTAAAAATACATCAAATACACATTTTTATCAGCCTAGTTACAAGTTCCTGTGAAAAACTTTTAAAATACCATCTTGAGGAATATGTGCAGAATATGATCAAGACTTCACCAATTTAAAGATGGTCCATATAAAACTTCACCAATCTCCCTCTCCCTCTCTCTCTCCCCCTCCCTCCTTCTCTCGTGTGTATATATGTGATATATGTATGTGTGTACACACACAGGCACACAAAATTTCATTGTACATCATAACAGTAAGAAATGACTGGAATAAGCCCCATGAAAGATTATGATGCAAAACAGTGCTCCATGCAAATATTATGTGATCATTATTTATGCAGTGGCATAATATAGTAATGCAACAGCAATTCCCAAACTATACACATTTTCATGTTTATATGTGATTTACGAAATTAAACAAAAGGCTCTAATGTTGCTTCAAAAACAGCAATCAGAGAGTAATTTTGGATCTACTAGTAAATATTTGCAATTTTGTAGTACTGTAGATCAACAAAAATTGTAAAGTATCAACATAATTAACTTCTTTGTCAAAATTATTCTGCTACATTTAAAATATTTCTGAATAAATGACAAATGTTTTTGTACCAGGGTTCATTTGGTAAGTCCTGAAAGTTTTAGTGTAAAACAAAGCAGATACAACAAGAAAGATAAATCCTAACTGAACTGAACCGAATGAAGACAACAGTATTTCTTTATCTCTGAAAGAAGACAAAATAAGTACATTTAAACAGCCCTATTGCTTCACTAAATAACCCTTACTGTCTAAAAAAACATTGGGATTTTGCTAATTTTTGTTTCAGAAACAGGAATATAGTTCAGTGTTCAGAAGTTTGGGAAATACTGAATATATGCTCTTTTTATATAGGAGTCTATGCAGCAGAAAAATTATATATATCAAACCAGATGTAAGAGTGTATACTCTGTAGACCTTTTAAAAATGCATTAAAAACTGATCAGGGAATTAGGACAACATTCACATAATTTGACGAATGCAAACCTATTTCTATTTCCCTAGATTAAATCATTAAATCATGATATTTCTAAGCACACAGGATAATGAGGGTTGTAAAAAACAACTGAAAATTGATCAAATCTATTTTTTTCTTTTCAAAAAATATGTAACATCTTTTATCAAGCCTGCAATTGTGCACCAACTATATATTTTTAAAAATACTACTTATTTCAAATTATTTACTTGAAGATTTGTAAGAACACCATGCAGACCATAAACTGAATTTTCACACATAAAGCATGTTTGATTGAAATATGTGACAATATTTTTATCCTTGATTAGAATAATTGAAAAAAACTTGCACAGCATCACAAATGTATCTCTAATCCCTCCTATTGAGCTGTTCTCAGTATGGTTTTGATTCTTCATATATGATTACTATTTTTGGGCCTTCTTGAATACCCAAATACATAGTGTTTCTGCTGAATAGGGTCCTGCAATAGATGGTCAAACAAGAATGCACGCATAACATCTAAAAAACCTTACCACCAAACTGTGGATTAGCAGACTCTGATCCTGAACATGTGTAAAGGCAGGAATAGGGCAAGGATTTAAAATCCATGAAGAGGAGGGAGCAGAATAGGTTAATAATGAATGGTGAATGGAAATAAAAAGCTTTAGTCAGTTCATATAAAAAGCTGGAAATGCCACAAGGTTAGGGCTAAAAGCAGTGCATTTAAGTAGCTTCCACCAGGCTCAGATGCAGTATAATTACAGTTTTTCAGCTCTTGAACAAAAGACCGTAAAGCAATGAATTTAACTGAATTGTCACATCAAATTGTTGAAAGCTCTAACGAAAGTGTAAGTGAATGTCTAGTAGATACAAAAAATATTATTATATTTTTCATTCTATAGAATCCAATGAAAGGAAATGAAAGTGAAGGAGGGATAATGTACAAGAATTCCATATCTGACATGCAAAAGTGAAGAAGTAACTAAACATGGCTGTCCAATTTTTTAAAGATCTACCTGCACTTGTGGAATCATTATCTAAATGATTCTGCATTTGTAAATATAATGACAGAAAAAATAATTATGCTTCCATATTGTTTTCTTATATTCTTAATTAAAACTGCTGTACAAGACTATGCATATGCAGGCTAATTCCATAATTACTAGTATACACCCCCAAGACTCTGACCACTGTCTGAAGTAAATATTCTGGCATTAATAAACGATACATGAGTTGTGCCAGAATTAATGCAAATATGCAGAGAGGATGATGGCATGAGTAAAGATTTGCTAGTCTTAGGGATATTTATTTGATTATATCGATTAAGTAATCTCCATATTGGGTAATGAATTTGTTTGATTTCATTAAGAAGCGGTGGTGTGCTAGATTTATTGTTAGAAGAGAAACAACTTAGCAAAAATCCACCACCTGGACAGAATAATCAATGATCAAGAAGTGATCATTTGTGGAATTGCTTTAATTTAGATTTCTGCACCAAACAAGGAGTAAAAAGCTTCTTTAAATGAATGCTGAAAATACCCACCCAATCCTTCTCCTTTTCTGATAAAAACAGCTGAGTCTTTGAACCAGCTGTTCTACATAAACTCAACATAAGCTTTCTTCTTTCAAATTTCAACACAAGCTTAAATGTTTGGAATGTTTCCAATCAGGAAAGGTTTCAGGATAATTTAGAGAAAAATAGCTGCTGAAACTGCATGTACATTTTCATACATTGGCTATAGTACAAAAACATTTGATTACCACATTAATTATTTATTAATTTAATTAAATATTTTAAAATAAGAATAGAAATCTGAACTGCTTGAATATCAAAATAATGTTGTTTTAGCTTATTTATTTATTACATATATTACTCTTGGCAGGATTCATTGAGGTTTTTAACTTTATACAAAGATAAAGTTATTAAAATATTCACATTATAATATTAATCAATTAAATGGAAAATTTAAAAAAATGCTTATAATCAAATACATAAAAACCAGCTAAAAAGGGAACAAAAGAAATAATAGAAATAAGTAAATGGCAACAATCACAATTCAAATGTTCCTTTCATGTAGCCCTCATTTAGTGACTGATTCATTTAGCTGCTTCTCATAGTTAGAACAGTGATGAAAAAGGACTTTTAATCCTTGCATTTTCTACTTTTGCAGGTCTGTAAAGCAAAGGAAAACTCAAAGAAAGTAAGATCATATGTACAGTTCACAGTTTCACTTAACAATTACTTTGCTTAACAACTGAGTAGCCAGCCCAATTGTGGTTGCTAAGTGAAAACTACCTCGTATTTGTTTTAAGAAGTTTATGAAAAATTAATAAAGTAGGGGCTGACTGTATTTCAGCTCCTACTTTATTAACAATTTTTCTATTGCTTGTTTATTTGTTTGCAAAAGGAGTGACCACAAAATATTCTCCTTAAACTGAGTGTTTTTGTATGTTTTGTTTTTTGTTCCTTTTTTATACTTTTAACCAAAGGTAACTTGCTCAGAATTGCTAGTGCAGGTTGGGTACCTAATAAGTAAATAAATCCATGCTGGGAGAGGCTGTATTGATTGCATAAATTAGTGCCTTAGATAATTCAAAGTCAAACCAAATCAAAATTAGCACTTTTAGATTATCTATGTTGATGTGAGTCAGCAAGCAACTGGACTACAACCTTTAAGATTAGTTTCCAGGTGATTTTCAAAAGAAGTACAAAGTGCCCAGCAATAATCCAAGCAAATGATCATGTGTTCCAAATAAGGCTGAACTGGCACCACAAATCTTTGCAAAGAACCATCACGCACAGTGTGAACCTGCCTTTCTAGCAACAACTATAAATCTAGGACTCCTAGCCATGATTCTGCTCCTTTAGGGGTAGTGTTGGTTCATCAACAGACACTATAAGAGATATTAGACATCTATGATGGATAAACAATAATATTAGACATTCATGATGGTTAAATAATTACTGTCTCTTATGGTTTCAACTTCAGCCTGTTTTATCTCACTTTGACTCTCATAACCTGTAGACCCTGTGTCAAAACCTGGACCTGGATCTCAAACTGACGGATGATCACCCCTAGCTGTTTCATGTAGATATTAAAAAGTAGGGAGAGAATATTGAGCCCTTTGACACTCCATCAAGGTTTATTGCTCCTACAGCCAGTATCTGGAATTGCCTATTAAATAAGAAGTAGAATATCTCTAAAACTGTGTCTACAGCCTTCAATCCCTGCAGGCTACTCAGAAGAATACCATGATTGATGGTATTGAAGAGTTCTGAAAAACATAAAAGATCCAGAAGGAATATATTTCTCCATCCAGATCATAATGAAGGCTACCTGTAAAAGCAATCCATATTTCAGTCTCAGGCATAAGCCTGACACTTAATTGAATAAAACTGAATCTGCTCCTTAAACATGCTCTATAGCAAATTATGGGATCTCCATAATCTTTCCCCAAAAGAGAAGGTTGGAGATTTGGCGAATACAAATTGTTCCAAGAAGAACTTATTATGGAGGAAGTGTACTATGCCCTGTTACAAAAGAACTTTCATTATGTTTCCCACATTATCTCCTGCACCCTGTACGATACATCAAATTCAGACCCACTAAGGAGCCACGGGGAGCAAAATCAAATCCACAAATAGAGACAACAAACAGCATTATATCCATTTCACAGGTGAGAAAGAGACCCATATAATATAGCCAGATAATGTCCAGGCCACCACCATTCAGTCAAGATTCTGATGAATATCACTGACTTTATTGGCAATGTTTAATATTAATTGGCAGTGCTAATTGGTCCTAATTGCCAGATTTACTTGTTGCCCTTTCCTAACGGAAGCTAGGTCCTCTAAACAAGCCTAATGATGCAATATTGGAGAAGGATGTTTCATCTCCCTTACTCGTGAAATGGTGTAAGTTTGAAATTGAGCTCATACCCACATTCATTCAGATTTGTTTTGCTGTTCCACTTCTGGAAGAAAAAATCTGCAATTAACCAACAGACAGGCTGCTGGGGACAATCATATCAAGTGCTTGGTTGCTGTTTATTATCAAATATAAAGGAGTTTTGGGGTTTTCTGGAAAAGCGCCCAGCACTTGCAGGAAACCAGTTGAATATAGCTATGAGAGATCTGGGATGACCATTTGAAATAGTCTATTTGCTCTATAGAGGTCCTCAAAGTCTTAGGAACTGTTCGATGATGGTGGAAACATTCTCCATATTCTGATCACAAATATCTGCTTAAGCATGGCCCCACTTACAAGTATTGAACCACAATATGCATTAGTTCTTGAGCTTTACTGGAGATGATCCTTACAGAATAAAAATAAAAATTGCCCCACAACAGAAGACAAGGGAATTTCAAGACGATCCTCAAAGAGGAATCCTATCAGGTAGCAATGTGGTTGGTATATCAGCAATTTACCCAGCTTGTCTTTGCAGCCTAACATCTAAGCCTTTAGTTGACTATCTATGGGATATAATACTTGGGCACATATCAATAAGAAAATATTACAACATAATTATGCTAGACTTTTACATTGTCTCTTTATTAGAATAAGAATTAGGTTATCTGAATATACACACATACACACACACTCACTCACTCTGGAATTGCCATTTTATATGTAAGGAACAAGGAGCAATAATCAGTTACAGCTACTTGACAAAGATATATGTACTTGAAAAATATACTTGTATATACATTTGAAATGTAAATTTAGACCCCTATGAATGATGTAAAGCAGGTGAGTCAAACTCATGGCCCAAAGGCTGGATGTGTCACGCTCTGGCCACCCCCACCCCTACTTTAGCGAAGGGGGGAAAAGTCACGATACGTCACCTGACGTGACGCTGTGAGTTTCACACTCCTGATGTTAGCCAAAAAGTCATGAATTTATAGGCATGAAAATAATGATATGTACAGTGAACTTTAGACTATATGCAGTATTTAAAATCCATTGCTGCTGAAGTGATTTAATTTGTCAAAACATTTAATTTCAGTATCAAAATATGAAACTGCACGAAAAAAAAAGCAGAACATTTATCCCCGCTACAATTATTTACTAATATGTATAGGACAGACTTTTGCAGTAGTTTTTTTCTGTACTATTACTGCAAACAGAAAATAAATATATCCACTGCACATCTTTTAGAATATGCAATATTGTTTATGATACTATAATAAGGAAGAAGTGGTAAGTTAGACATTAAATATAGAAACCATTCTAATAAGTCTCTTAATATTTGCCTGTGCTTGTAAATGTATTCGCCATTCATATGCAATAGTTTACAAAAGAGGTTGAAAGTATACATTCTGTATTTTAGAAAATAACTTTTTCAGCAATGCTTGTACTTTCCTCAAATGTATATCAATTAGTAATATATACTTGTTTGAATAATATTGTCAAGCCTGAATTCCAATTCCAATGCTTCATTAATTTTGAAATAATGCATTCAATTCTACATAATGTAGCAACAATATACTTGGATGGAGTTTAAATGATTGAATTATGTTTGAATTGTAGTTAATTAAAATGTTTTCAGGCATTGAAATATGATACCCATTAATTTTTTGCTCTCTTACTTTGTTTAAACCTCAAATAACTATAGGATTTCCCAATGAAGAGAGGTCCACTTTAAAAAATTCTACACTGAAAGGATTAATTTATCTTTTTCTGAAACCTTATTCAAAATAACACAACACAAAGTATAGAAGACTTCAAAAGCATGCAGGCTACTGACCCGAAACACTGAAACACTGAAAAAAAAATACCTTCATTTTTGTCTGGCGATGATGAACCTATGGCACAGAACAACAACTCAGTATGTAGTGTTTCTTAAGAAATATTTTGACCATATCCTTTAGTCAATGAATGTACAGTAGATTTATGGGTTTAAAACATTGTTGAAAGAGGCAATACATACGTTGAGACTGAGATACAACTTTTGTTCGACTCCGGCCCCTGGAATCTGTCTTTGAATTTCCTACTCCAATACAGGATGTTGAAAGCTTGGTTCGCACACGCCCTATAAAAGAAACAAAAAAGAAAGAAATGAAATTCATATGTATAGAAGTAATTTAGTAAATTGAGAGAGAAACAATACTACAGTGTAGTTGAAATAATGAATCAGCTCTATTACTTCTTAACTCTTAACAAATTTTACTTGCAATAATTTAATAGGTATTATTAGATAGAGCAATGTTCTTTTTTCCTACTTTAATATAATCATGCATTTCCCACTGAAATAATTACAACTAGTACCTCTTAAATATATAACCATCGAATAAAATAATCTATCATATTTTAAGTACAAATTATGTACATTTATGCATCGATAGTATAATTTATTTTAAAGTAAAATAAGTATATTTTATTTTAAACAGTGTAAGATATTATTACATATGTGCCATAAAATTGAAATGTATACTGTCTCTCATATTCAAGTTGGATATCAATATCTACATCTATCTATATGAATATGTGTGCGTGAGGTTATTCAAACGCACACACACAAACAAAAATATATATTCTACTATTTTTTAAAAAAATCCAAAACATTCTGAAACTATTCACAAAATTCCATTTTACTTAAGAATAGCAGGATAGATTAAAACTAACTTGAGGAGCCAACATTTTCTTTTTCAGTTCCCAAAACTGAATTGCTCAAGTGTTTGAAACTTCTTAGTGTCGTGTTTGGTTAGTATCAAAAAATTTTAAAAATCAAGAAAAGTAAATACACCAAAAAATTTCAACACTAATTTATACCAAATCATTTAGATCTCCTACAAAAATATACTATTTCCTCAGGCACAGGAGAAAATCTTTGAGATGAGAGTCTGTATTCATTCAATTCTTGATGAAGTTATCAAACTAAGTTTCTTATACCCAATATCTATTACCAAAACACTCAAATCCATGCAATGACAGAAATTCTGCCATTCACTGTAATGTGTGTAAATGCAGATAATTTGACCTGGAATACAAAGCGCCACTATTTTGTTAAGATGTTAAATAACCAAACAATCTTTATTTTTATTTCAATAAAAGTAATCCATTCTTATTGCTCAGAATGAAGTAAGTAAAATGTCTATTGAATGATTCAGTATTATTAGATGACCATATATTTGAGAGTCAATTGTCATAATTTCAAAAATTATGAAATATATGATATGAAAACAACTTGTCCTCATCCTATGAAGAGGTTGGAGCCAAACATAGAAAAAGCACCACTTTTCAACTGATAATCTGCCATAACTGTAAGAATAAACAAGAGAGAGAGAGAGAGAGAGAGAGAGAGAGAGAGAGAGAGAGAGAGAAAGAAAGAAAGAAAGAAAGAAAGAAAGAAAGAAAGAAAGAAAGAAAGAAAGAAAGAAAGAAAGAAAGAAAGAAAGAAAGAAAGAAAGAAAGAAAGAAAAACAGATAAGGGTGTTATTTGACAGTGAACATGGACTTAGGCTAAAACATAAAGCTCACCAGGTGACAGTCAATCAGAAAAAAAGTGGGCTAAATGCATGAAAGACTTGTGAAAGTAACGTAAAAGAATCATGTAAACTTTAAGTAAATTAGGATAAAGTATAATTTAAATAATATTACATAATTGATTTGTATTTTATGAATTTTAATATAATTTTAAATAAGTATCAACCAGCAAAATTGTTTGATTTATGAAGAATTTAGTGTGCATTTCATTAAAAAGTAATTAAAAATTAGGTATCCCAAATTTGTTGATCATTTTGTGGATCTCATGTTAGCGCTTTAAAAATATGTTGTCATTTGACAATATTTGGTTTAAACTTCAGGCATTGAATGTTGACATCCAGTTAGATAACCATGATGCCAAAATAAATTTCAAAGATTGAGTAAATAGTAGCACCTGTTCCCAAAAGCATGAGAATGTCCACTAGTGTGTTAAAAGTTTCATTACAAAATTTAATAGCAAAGCAAATGAAAAAGTTTGCATATTTAAAATATAATGGATATTGATACATGTTATTGCCAATTTGCATTTGAAAAAAAATACTGCAGCAACAAAGCATTATTAGCTAAGCAAATTAATAAATAACCCTGAAGACCATGGTCTGTATACAGTATGGTTTATGATGATGGGAATATTATGTTAAATATATTTTCTCTTTTATTGTCTTACCATCTTCAGAAGCTGTTCCTAAATGGGAAAAATATCAAAACAATGATATTCCAAACAAAAGTTCTTTTTGTATTTGATAAGCAATAATTGTTTGGCTTCCAAAATACATATAAAATATTTAAGAATATAGTTACTCTGTGCTTGGCTATGAAATGATCCCTTAGATCCAATCAACTTTCTTGTGACATAAACCAGTGGAACAACTTGCCTTCAGAAGTTATGGATGCTCCACCACTGGAGGCTTAACAGCCCACTTGTCTAATAAATTTTGTGCTATACTTTTCCATCTGCTCATTTTGATCAAAATCGAATAACTGATAGTTCAGTCTTGGAAATAGTGCAATTTACCAGCAATAGATTAGTTCAGTCCTGGCCAGATACTTTCTCCATGTAAGACAAGAGTGAAAAAATGAACCTGAACTACAGAAATTATGATACAATCATCCAGCATGTTAAAAGTTTACACATTTAGGGACTTCCGGTTGAGGCACCACATCGAAGTGGAGCAGAGGAGCGGATCGCCGCTCTGAAAAATCCGAAGTTCTATGCCTGGTAGCTCCTAGGAGTGAGTTGGACCTTGGAGGGGTCGGCAGGGAAAAGGAGAAGGTACGGAGGTGTCAGGGAAGTGCCGCAATCCCAGACACTGCAAGAAGAAGCCCCAAAAACCGGCAACAGAAGAGGGAGATTGTGATGATTGGAACCAGAGACATGGCTGCCTAGTTGTTTAAAGAGGGAAGTAAAAAGTGGAAAACAGCAAGTTGAGCGGTGGGAAAGTGCAATTAAGGAAGAGTACCAGAATATCTGACAAGAAGAGGAGAAGAATGAGGCTCCGAACCGTGTGGTGTTAACAAGTGGCGGAATTAGCAGAAGTGCTGAGTGTGGATTAAGTGACTGAGCTGTATACTGAGTAACGGAACGGTAAAAGCTGAGGGGAAGAAAGATGAGATGATATAATTTTTTTCTGATTATAGATGTAGATGGAACTATAATGTATCTGTGAGTGGTGGAAAAAAGTGATTGTAAACAACAAGAACGGCGGAGAAGTGAAAAAAAGAGAAAACCATTACTGACTGTGTATATATATAAGAGAGGACATTTTGATATATCGGAGGAAGAAAATTGGAAGACTTTTTTTTATTTACAGACAATTGTGGCGGTGAAAGGAGGGAAGGTCTGATTTGTTTGGGACTATTGAGTGGAAAGGTTACTAGAATTGAGACTATGAAAACGGTACAGCACAAAGTGCAGAAGGGAAAAAAAAGTATGACTCTGCACTTTTGAAAGAAGACATTTTGAGATATGAGTCCTCAACAGAGTAAAGAGTAAAATAAGTTTGGAGACTATCTAAATATTATTTGTAAAGTACATATTTAATAGATGTATAACTATTCTACTAGAATACTGAATAATAATTGAATTATTAAGTAATTGAAGAGTAAGAGGTTGAATAACACATGAAATAGTGCAGGGGTGGGATTCAGTTTTTTTAACAATCGGTTCTGTGGGCGTGGCTTAGTTGGTGGGTGTGGCTTGGTGGTCATGTGACTGGGCGGGCATGGCCAACTTGATATCACTCATGTCAAGGGGCGCTTCTCCTTGTCTGGCCTCTCATGACAGTGAGGATGCTGCAATGGTCTTAAGTGTGAAAAATGGTCATAAGTCACTTTTTTCAGTGCCATTGTAACTTTGAATGGTCACTAAATGAACTGTTGTAAGTCAAGGATTACCTGTACAAAAATACAAAAAGCTTCTTTGCTTGCAAAAAGCTGCCCTAAATACCAATCATTAGATTAAAAATACCTGCAAGCCAGAGTTACAAATCAGGCAGGATGCCAGAGCACCTTGAGGAATGAAAATAGTTAAAATGCAGTTATAACTATCAAGCAGCCATCTCTTGCTCATAAAGTGAAACCCTTAAGCAGAGAGGTCATTTAAGCTCTCCAGAAAAAAAAAGCACACCCAGGAAAAGCAATCCTTAGATCCATTTGCACCACTTAAAGACACCAGTTGGTCTCACTCACCTTACGACATATCCTAAGGAAATCACTCACTCACCTTACAACATATCCTAAGGATTTAAGGAAAGGTCACATGCCCCCCAGAAAGGCAGTAAAAAAAATCAGTGCCAAGCTTGCATCCTGCCTCTTGGAAGTGTACCCCAAAAGGACAGTGCCAGATAATACTAAAGCAGTGAGGAAGACCCTCTCCCCAGATAGAAAAAGAAACCATGAGGCAAGAAAATATTCAAACACAATACAAATAATTAAATCACAACAGTAGCTGTTGCTTGTTGAAGCCGAATAGGAAAAATTATCCCATCAATAAACACAGGATTAAATGTCACCAAGCACAGAATTAACCTTCACCAAAAACCAGTTTTAGACCAAAACTCAAGTTTGAATGTCAATCTTTCTAGCTAGCCAAGAAGCCTTGCTGAATGTCACTCATCTTGGTTCCCTGTCACTAAAAGCTTTGCTTCATTATTCAAGTATTTCTTCAAAGTGCTGATTGTCCAGGGAAATATTTCCTCCCAACAGCAATGTAAAAATCTTAAAACAACCCTTCCCCTTTAAGAAAGCCAAACCTCAGAAGCTCCAGAGACAGGAAGTCTAGGCGTACTGGCAAGAATATAATAGGGGTGGAAAAAAATAAAAGGAGATTGCTTCTAACTACCGGTTTTCCGAACCGCTTAGAAAGTTAACAAGGGGTTCTATAGAACCGGACAGAACCGGTAGAATCCCACGCCTGAAATAGTGTACTAAATTTAATAAGTCTTGTTTCCTTTTGCCCTTTCTCTAATTTGCCTTATTTTTTTCTTTCCTTCCCTTTCTTTTTCTTTCCTCTCTCCTGTGCGCTTAAAAGTATTATACTGTATAATT